ACCAAAGGAACTCACTCTCGCCGGCCACCCAGAGGAAGTTGGGGGACAAGGCCCTCCCCGCCCAGGAGAAGAACTCCCGCGACCAGCTGCTGGCCGCCATCCGCTCCAGCAACCTCAAGCAGCTCAAGAAGGTGAGTGCGGGGAGGGGCCAGTGGGGCCACGGGCGGCAGGAAAGACACCCGGGCGGCCGTTGGGCCTGGCTTCCGGGGGCACCGCTGTCCCTCAGGGGGACTGTCCTCTAGCCTCTCCCTCCAGCTTCCCCTCCCCCTAGAAGAGACATGACACGCAGCCGCCCCACAGGGCGCAGCCCCCTGAACTCCCTCCCAGAGCGGCCAGCCTGACCGTCCATCCCCAAGGCACCGGGGAGAGTCAGTGTGTGCAGTGCAGGGACACCCACCGTCCGGCCCACGACCCGGGGACAGCAGCCATGTCGGTGGGGCCGGGACAGCAGGAGGAAGGACAGTGTCTCCTGTTGCACCCACATGTCCACCCTCAGGCCCACTCGTACGCCCGGGCCCGGGAACAGGCTGGAGGTGGCCGAGCCTGGGGGGCGGCTCCCTAAACGCCCTGCCTTGTCCTTACAGGTGGAAGTGCCCAAGCTGCTGCAGTAGGGCCAGGCTGCGGGCACCACCCCTGGGCTGCCCAGACCCGCCCCGGCTGGCCTGCTGCGTCCGTCTGCCCGGGGCCCTGAGGCCGGGCCACGCCCTCTCATCCGGACATTTCCTCTCCACGGGCCGATGTTTCTGGGCAAGAAGAGTCCTTCAGGCACCACTCGGAGGAGATGGCGCGGGGAGCCGGGGAGGATGTGCACAGGGACCAGTCGGCCCAGCCCCGCCCGCCAGGGCCAGGATTCAGCTCTGAGGAGCCCTGGGCAAGGCTGCTGGGCTGGTGTGCAGGGCAGGGCAGACGACGGAGATGGAGAGGGACGGGGACGGGGCTGTCCGCCCCCGCTGGACTAACAGAGCCTGGACAGACGGACAGTGCCTGGGGAGGGAGGGACAGGCGGCAGCTGGACCTGAAGGTTTGATGCCAAAGCAGACGTTTTCCTACACCCACTCGCTATGTTGTGAACCGCTGTCTTTCCATAAGATTTTGATAATATATTCCAGCCTTTTGCTGCACCTGGCGAGGCCCCTCTGTGCTGTGCCGGGGCCCTGGGCCCCACCCCGCTCCCCGGGGGCCCTCGCCGCCCTCAGCACACGTTCACTGCAGGTTGCCATGTGGGGACAGCACCCCTGAGCGGGCTGCCCAGGCCCGGACCAGGCCCCGGGTCTGCCCCTGACGCTGTGGCCTGGAGACCCCGCCGGGGACGGGCAGAGGAAGCCAGGCCGGGCTGGGAGGCGTGTTCCTTCCCGGCGCCGCCTCCCTCCATGGGGTGCACCACACGCATCCTCCCGGCTGGACGGCCTGGCCCCGCTGGCCCCGCAGGGCTGACCGCTGCCTGGGGCCGGAGTCACTAACGGGTTTCCCCGCCTCCGTGGCCGCGGGCAGAGCGGTTTCCCCATCTTGGGCTGCAGAGGTCTCTGCTGGGAGTGGCCACAGCGGAGGGCACCGAG